TGCTCCTGCTGCAGAATTTTGCTTTGCTGCTCACTCTGCATAGTACCAAACCCATTTGCCTGTGACTCCATTTATATGAGCTATTCCAGGTCTTCTTCTGCAGTTTATGGCACACCGTGGTCTGCTTCAGTGAATGATGCCCCTAATAGATGGGAGGCTGGAGGAGTCTGGAGGATCCCTTAGGTCAGGTTTTGTAACAAGCTCTTTCAGAGAGCAGATTCCTGGAGGGCCGTCAGATTCAAAAGCAGAGAGAAGACACGTACCTGGAGGGGAGCAGGTACCAAGAGCTGGTTCCTCTATTTTTAAAACAAGCTGCTGAGGCAGGGAAAGGGGCATACAAATTGTCTTTCCACACATTTCCATGCAGGCAGGGGGAATAATGGCAGAGGAGCGGCGGGGAAGGGGCTTTGTCATGGTTACAGGCCGGTGGCTGAGAATGTGGGTGGAGCGGCGCTCGTCCAGAGTTAGTGACCTCAGCAAATTGGAGCTCAGCCATGGTCAGTATGATAAATGATCTTATTCTGGGTCAAAGAAATGGTAGCCCACAGGGAGGTGTCCGCAAGGCGGCCCGGGAAAGCTCTGTGCTCCTGCAGCACTGACCCCTTAGTGACCAGTGCTGCATATATCTTATTTATTACGGACCAGAAGGGAATTTTCCATGGTTTGACCTTTATAGGGTTCCTCTATTTCCCTGAAATAAGCTCTCGGTTCTGCAGCCGAGGCAAGAATATGGGTGTAATTACACCCTCTGGGTGCCCTTCGAGGCACCGTGTGCTTTGTGCAGGGCTGTGTGTGGATTTTAAGGCAGGAGATGCCTGGTCATGGCATGTGTGTGTGTGAATCTGCCAGCGACCTGTGCAGCTCCCCGGGAGCCAAGAGCAGCGTGTCCCTGTCAGCTGGTATTACAGTTGGCAAAGTCCTTGTGCCTTTCTGCACATTTATCAGTGTGGTGGGAGATCCCTCTAGTGCAACACCCAGCTTGGTGTTTCTCATTCGAGGCACCTGGTTTCTCTCTGCACACAGCCAGCGTCCTCTTTGCTGAGTTATCACTGATGAATGTGTCAGGCCCAGGAGGTTTTATTGAGCTAGGGAAGATCTATGGATTTCAGCTCTGCTTTTGAGGGTGTGGGTGAACCCGGGCTCTTGTTCCAGGCGGTACTAAAATGGAGTCTTAGCTGCATTTCTCTCGCAGAGGAAGCTCAGCAGATTCTTCATGGAGGAACAGTTGGGGTAATGTAGAAGATCAGGCCTTGGAGGATACACGACAGGCCCGAGCAGACTGTGCAGTTCTGTCTGCCACAGCCGGGAGTGTTTATGGTGCAGCTGGGCTGAAAACGAGCCGCCGCCGCTGGGTTTTTGTGTGCGCGCTCGCTGCAGTTTCTGCATCCTGTCTGCTTGTGTGACAAGCCAATGACTTTGTGTCACTGCAAGCACACACTTCGTTTTCCTGAGCTGTGTGTTTCGCTGGGTGATTTGTTTTATGTATGTGTTGTGGGTTTGAGCTCCCATCTGTGCACTTGAACTAAGCAGTTTTCTCAAAACGTTTGTCAGTTTTTCTTTTTTTTAATTAACTTTAGATTATTTTTCCTGAGAATTTGGAGAGGTTTGATTCACTGTTAGCACAGGAAACAGAAGCTGCCTCTGTATACAAATAAGACAGGGATTTCCTACCATGTGCTTCAGTCCCTGCTTTGCAGTCTGAGAATATTTCAGCTTTCTTGGATGGTTCACTCTTGTTTCTCTGCTGAGGCTGCCAATGCTGAGGACAGTTAATGATCGTTAGAGTGGATTTTTTTGGTGGGGGTATCTGTTTGCTGTGAGTAAAGTGGAGTAGGCTACTAAAAGAATTTCACTGCTACCATGCAGCAATGATAAAAATCCATCATCACTGGAAAGAGCTGGAGCTGAGTTGGTGATGGGGGAGCACAATGCTGTGTTACCTCAGCGTTCACCTGAACCTCACTTCTGACCCAGAATGCACGAAGAATTTTGCAGCCAAATGGCAGCATGTGTAGTACAACTGTGCTCCTGCAAGTAGCAGTTACCCCTGTGCTGTGGTGGGGGCAGCTTCAGCCCCAACACGAGTGTAGAATTGCTGCATCCTAGAGACGGTTTCACTTGTCCGTGGATGTGGTGCCTGACCACGCTGAGATTGTTTTCCTTCCTTGGATGTCACTTGTAGAGGACCTGCTGTTTGCATAGCAAATCCTCAGCCCAGGGAGCTGGAAACCTGTTAGACCTGTAGCATAGTATCAGAAAATGTCTTAGGAACGCTACGTGTGTCAACTGTAAGAGATAAGTGGCTGTGCCATAATTTACCTGTTCTTATTTCCGTCGTGACAACAGAGAGACTCCTGAGCTGTTGCTCACGACTGCTGTTCAAGGCACTGAGCTGCAAGATGGCTTCCCCCCACACCACTTGCAATGGAAGTAATCATGTTCCCTTTCAACACCTTCCTTGTGGGAGAAGGTTTTGGTGTGGCTCTGGTAATTTTTCATCCTTTATAATTGATTTGTTCTAGTAATATTGGTATACGGAATATAGATACATGAAGGTGAGGGAAAAAATTCAATTCTGAGAAAGCAGCCAAAAGTATTAGGTCTTAAGGTTGGCTGCAGAGAAGAGGTCTTAATTTTCATTGCCATTTGGAACGAGGAAGCTCCAGGCAGGCATGGGGGTGTCAGTTTTTTTCAGACTGTCTAAATTCTCCAGTACGTGTGTACGTGACTTCTGGGGAGGGGTAAATGAACGTAGGCTCAGGTGGGGCTGAGAAGAACATTTATTATGGAAGGAGTAGGGGTGAGGGAGTCTTCCAGCTCAGCCTCGAATAAATCAGTCCTCTCGCCCCTTCATCCAGGCTGCTTCTAGGTGGCTGCCTTTCATCCAGCTGGTGCAGCGTGTTTCTGTTTAAATGATCTCTCCTGAAAGGTCCCAGAGGAAGGGGCTGCTTATTGCACGCCAGGAGGATGGTGTATGGCACGGTTCATTGTTGTGTGCCCTGCCGCAAGTGCATAAATATGAAACAGCTCGCGGGCGTTGCTGCCGTGGGGCTGGTGTCCCCTTCGCGCCCCTCCCTCCTCCTTCTGAGGGCTCCTCTCCATCTTTCTTCCTCTCCGGCTTTCATTTCTTGGTGATGGAGAGCAGGAGCCGTTTGGGTGTGAGATCCTGAGGGCTTTACGTTGCAGCAGCATTTTTCAGGGAAGGTGAATCCAGTTAACTGCGGTTCTGGCGGCTGACCGCCCGGCGCGATGTGCACCTGCACCTCAGCAGCGCTGCCCTCCCCGCTGCACCTTGCTGGGGAGGGGGCAGAAGGTGGTCTGGTTTATGCTCTTAGCTGTGTATCATTACAGGGGAGCCGTGGGTTGGCCCCAGGCAGGTGATCCTGCTCCCCAGGCAGCGTTAAGGCTCTTTCTGCCCCGATCAGAGCGATGCGGTGCTCGGGGCAGCGGTACCTGTCGTGCTCCAGGCAGCCCTGCGGTGGGACTGGTGGTCAGGCTGTCATCCCCAGGCCCTGATGCCCTGGGAAACCGGGTGGGGGAACAGAGGCAGTCTCTGAGCATCCCCCTCCCCCTTTCCCTAGGAATAGAGGCCCCCATCTGCTGCAGATGGACATGTCCCCATCGCCTAGTTGAAGTGCACCTGCCTGCACCAGCGCTGTTCATCCTCGGTGTGACAGAAGTCACGGGGGTTACGTTATTTGGAAGAGTCCCAGCTCTGCTCTTGGTGCCATCCACGGTCCCATAAAATCTTGGGTAAGGCAGGGAGCCTGCCCAAGTGGAACCACTACAAACACATTTATTCTTGCTGGTTGTGAAGCAAACACGTGAGGAAGTGTACGCAGAGTTTGGTTTTAGCTGAGAGGCGTGTGTGGAAAGATTCCCCCTGACTACAGTGAGCTTCCATGCATGAGGTGTTTGTGGAAGCCCATCCTGCCATCCCTGCCCGTCCTGGGAGCAGGGCTCCAGCCCTTGCTACTGGATTTGTGCTTCCTAAAGCTTCCTCACGCCTCAAAAACAAACAAAACTCTTTTGGGGCTTTCAAAGGGCTGTTTAAAGGAGCCCCGGGAGAATAACTGATTGTGGATTCAGAATGATGAAGTGGTTTGTGGAACAGTGAAATATAGAGGCAAATGCAGGAGAACTCCACTTTGCAATTTGTCAGCTCCTCTAAACCCTGTAACGGATTATTCCCCCCCTCTGTCGCTTCTCACCTCTCCAATAGGAAATTAACTGATGCTATCACTAAAGAAATTGTTTTTGCCTCACAAAGTAAAATTGATACTATAAAAACCCACCAGCAGTGTCTCCTCCTCCTTTTACATGAAGACAAATCCTTCCTGTCACCTACTGAAATGGAAAGATAAAGGCTGAGCTTTAATAAAGCAGCTCTAAGCACAGAGTGGGGGGGTGGGAGCAGGCATGGCATGGGGGGTATGGCACAGCAGCAGGTGTGCTGCCAAGGGATGTTGTGGGAGTCCAAAATACCACCGTGGTGGCCGGTGCCTGTGTGTGTGTTCAGTGCATGGTTCCATCCACACTTGTGCCCCAGAGCTCCTGTCACCAAGAGCTCGTGCTGGATTTGGTACCCACAGTGTCTGCCTTGGCTCCTCTCAGGTTCTTAGGCCTGCCTCTTTGGACTTTTTAAGTCTAGTTAAACACACGGAGAGTGAGAGGTCAGTTGGTTAGGTGATAACAGAAGGCAGGGGCTGTGGGACGTGGTAAAGGAGTCCTCACAGCTGCAGTCTCCTGCTGGCTTGGCGCCTCAGCACGAGCGGCGTTCCTTCTTTGGGGGATGCATTTCCTGCAGGAAACCTCTTCTGCCAAGGGGTGCTGCCAAGGGGCAGTGCTCTTGGGTGGTTCCCTTGCCTGGAGGTGTGCAGCTACCCCCAACCATCCTGCCTGTTCCCCCTCTACTCTTTTGTGGGTAAACGATCACTTTGTTCTGACATCAGCCTGGAGCCCTCAGCTGGTTTGTAAACCGCTGTCCTTTCTCCTTTCAGGGGATGTCAGAAACCTGCTACAGTGGATCAAACAGAATCTCTTGAAAGAACGACCAGAATTATTTATGCAAGGGGAATCTGTGTGAGTATAGCTGTTAGGAATCCTCCTCCTGTTTCCCTCTTGATCCCCATGATCTGGGATTCCTTTCTCCTGTTGGTTGCAAGAAGCAAGTTAATGACCATGATAATATGGGGTTTATTAAAGTGATGATGGGAGGTGTCCCACGCTACACCTCACCCTGTTCCATGGACAGCTTCTTTTGCAGCCCTCACCCATATCTTTACACCTTAATGTGAAGCAGGGCCACATATATTTCCTCTCCATTGTCACCTGGAGCAGCGTGGCACATGTATCCTCAATTCCAGGAGTTTAGCAGGTCTGTCCGTTCCCTGCTGACATCACCGGGACTGAAGCAGTCACTCGGAGAAACGCCAACAAATATTTCTTCTGGGAAATGTATTTTTATTGTCAAAATGGGGCCAACCTCGTGGAGGGGAAGGAAAAAAAAAGCCAAGAGAAATGGAGCAGAGTGAGCTGTGCAAGAGCCATCCCTGACTGCGGGGTGGCGCTGGGGGTGGTTAACATTCGTCACGGATCTTTGTGAGCTGAAGCGTGTGCCAGGTCCCCTGGTAACAGGAGAGACAATTGCAGGACACTGAAGATCAAAGAGGGGGAATCCCTTTGCCTGTAATCAGGGGCTGGGACTGGATCCCGGGTGCTCGGTGCCTTTGGTAGGGGCAGTGGAATAGCTTTCCCTGCCTTCACATCGAGCTCTCTGCTCGACCGTGGCGCGTGGGTTTTAATTACCTGGCTTTTCTACATCGTAGGGAAATGCAGTCAGGGAAATGCAGTCAGCTCAGAGCATCCTCCGGAATGGTGCATTTGGATTCAAATGAGCCTTGGGATTGCTCCTGCCTCCCCTTTATTTGATCTAGAAAGGGCACAGGCTGTACCTGTTTTCCAGCTCGGTGGTAGGATTCCTTTTTCTGCTTGGCTTTATAGGCAGGCAGCTTGTGATCTGTGCTGTAACATCCCTTGTTCTTAACTATTAGTGAATCTTTTTAGCAGCCCTGTATCCTAATGATTTCTCCTGTTCTGCAGGAGGCCAGGAATTTTGGTGCTCATCAACGACGCAGACTGGGAACTAATGGTCTGTACTCCTTCAGTTTGACTTTCTTTGTTGAAAATATCGCTCTGTCTGTTCTGTGGTTGCTCTCAGAGAAGCTGTTTCTGATTCTTGCCCCAAGCGAAGCATCTTGTGTTTGAGGGGGAAGGGGCAGGCTGGGATCTCTCTCCCTGCATTGTACTGTGGCTGTTAGAAGCCTGGAGCCTTTCTCTAACCTGCTGAGTCTCATCAGCCAGCCAGCGTCTGAAGAGAGATCACCCGTATTCCCTGGCCCCTGGCAAGGGGCTTCACACCTCCGGCTGCCAGCAGGACTCCCCAGCGCCTGGGGAGCCAGCTGAGTGGGCACCAGGCAGCTTCCCAGCCCTGAGCAGAGCCCCCTCCTAGGGCAGGGCGGTGCCACAGTGGGGGAGGGCAGCCCTGGGCAGGCTTCTGCCTCAACAGGCAACTGGTAAATCTCCTTCAGCCCACTGTTGTGCTCAGACAACAAACAGCCCCCAACTATTTTCCTGCCTCAGGCAATGACCTGTTCTGTCAAAGCCCTGGTCCAGAAAGCGCGTGGGATAACGAGTCTGCTCCTTCTCTGATCTCTCACCTTTGCTTCCTTTTGGATGAAAACACCAGTCTGTCCCCTTCTGCTTTCCCTAGCATTCACCATCTTTTTATGAGATGTTTTCTCTTTGCAGTTAGTATTTGGAAATGACATTTAAACCATTTTTCATTTTTGTTCTTGGTCTGCAGGGTGAGCTGGATTATAAACTCCAGGACCAGGATAATGTGCTTTTCATCTCCACATTGCACGGCGGGTGAGCTCCTGAAAAAACAAGAGGATGTAAATCCAAATCCTGGGGAAAAAAAAAAACAACCTAAACCCACCCAAACCTGTCTTGAACTGCCTATGCCCAGTCTCCGCATCTTCCCACCACGTTTGCTTGTTACTAGACATCCCAATAAAGCCCTGACAGCATGCAGCCTGCTGTCCACCCCAAGAGCACCTGTCTTTTGGTCCTCATTTCACCTCTCCTGCACTCCAGGTACCCGATGGAGCAGAGAGCACCTGCAGCGTGTGTGACTGTTCTTCCACAACGGGAGGCAGAGGGGTGCTGAACCCCACATAGGCCAGTGTGTCTTTGCAGGCAGTGAGGTTTCTGGGGAGGTTGGTGCCAGTTTTGGGGGGAGGCTGGGGCGCCTTTGCCTTGCTGCTGAAAACTGAGGTTCTTTTAACACAGTACTTAGCAGTGGTACCGTCTGTGCGCAGCCATGGGAAGAGCGAGACATGAAGTGCAAGGAAATGCAAGGTTGCTTTACTAGTGTTTCTGTGAGGCAGCAGAAACAGCTTCAGAGGCCTCTGTCGTGACTTTCCACTTGTCATGACATTTATTTGTGGGAGGTAGGAGAGAAATAGGCTTTTTTAGTTTTGTTTTTCTGATGCCTTACACCTTTCACACCTGAGCTGAGGCAGGCTGAAGTACTAGCCCACGAGCAGTGACCAATTGATAACCATTTGGCTGGAGGGGAAGCAAACCTGCTCCCAGCCTGAGCTGGCACGGAGCGACGAGGGCAGCAAAGGAACTTTCTGTCACTGTGATGGACAGAACTGATCAGCCTGGGTGGGGAGCAGTGGGGAGTGCTGCAGCCTGGATGGGGAAGGGCTGGAGACTTGGGAGAGAAAGTCAGTGGCTTTTAACCCTCTCCATCAGCAGGAGGAGGAGGCTCCTTGCTGCACTCCCTGAGGCTGTCCCAGGAGCGCAGCAGAAGCGGGTGTGTGTGGCTCTGCTAGGGCACGGATCCTGTTCTCTTTCCAGAATTTTCCATGGATGGATGAACTGGCCCAGGAGGCCACAGTGGGATTGGAGGGGGGGAGTCGCAGAGGATCACGTTGGCACCAACAGGTCTGAAAGGCGCTGCAGGAGCCTCTAGGAGTGTGTGAGCA